GCGTAATGCCTCCTTTTTAACAGCATTCTATGAGTAATGCTGCTATTCCTGTCTCAGTGCAAGAGTTCAAAGCCTTACAATTGCGTCGTTAATTTTAGGCTCGGTTCCAAAGTTGTTTCCTGAGTATGTGATAGATATTGGTCTTGTTGAAGCCGCCTCTACCTCATATAAGGCGGCATATATCAGCCTCATCTGCTCTCCTCGGACCAGTATCTTTTTGGTACATAGTTAAGCCTTTTCGGATTGAGTAGGATGAGTTACTGCACCTCCTGTTCATCAATCTTGACAACCAGTGCAGCTTTCTACCCATCGTGATGACCAACTCCAGCCGAAGTCCCGCCATGCTTTTCTTTTTGAGTTTTTATAAGGTCGACCGAACGGCTCCTCACCGTCTATCCATCGACTCAGCCATTGCTCGTTGGATGTCTTCTCTCTGCACTCAAACCCCCACAATTCATTGGAATTATAACCTGTTGGTAAGAGACCGGAATTCAGGGGGGGGCTTGTGCTGTAGGTATTATCTTCCTCACTAATATATGATCTTGTCAGATCCTGAGCTGTTGATGTACACGTACCGGATCAGGTACGCAACTGTCTCCACACCAAATCAGTTATCTCTTGAACATGTAGGCCGTACATCGTCCTAGCTATCTTTTAAACGGCTCTAGTCCTCCGCATTTGTTTCATCTAGGTGAACGATGTGAACATAAACTAAAATTCGTCCGTTAACAGCTGAAGTTTTCCCGTCGACTACTGACTTTTATTTGCTCTAGAGTATCTTGCTTCATATAAAAAAGCATATGGACCTTGACGAGACAATCCGCAAGACCTTGCATCAATAACGCAATCAACGTGGGTTCATCGACTGGATTTTCTATAATACAGCTCGAGAGGTGACTTATGTGCTGCAGCTAAGCGAGCTCACCACGATAGCTATGTATGATTTTTGTAGCTATGATCGAACCCGGAACTCAGCTCGCGGTGCCTAAAATTACGCCTGAGACGAGTATGAAAGACCCCCGGTATTCCAAATGCGTACGGAAAATGGCTTTTGAGCATAAGGGACCAAGCATCAGCACGTCCTGCAAAGTTCTATTAGGCCCATGCAGACTTGCATTTCTCGTCAGTACTGCAAATAGCCCTTATGGCGTCGACCAGCTCGACGATGTATTTTAAAACAAAATTTTCCCCGACTTCCTGGTAGTTTTGAGATGTCGATTTTAAAACCTTCGGGTCGATGCGTATATGGCGACCCGGATACAGCGGCCTCTTTTGCATCAAAACTTCTACATTTTAGTAAGCATTGTAATGAAGCAAGGCGATCTTTTCTGTTCTGATTCAAGTTACTTTAGATGAGTTTGAACGATGGTGGTATGTTACCTTTCTCCGCCCAGAGCAGACAGAAAGATGCCACGGCTTCTTCGCCAATGGTCAAACCAGATCATGCGGCGACGTTCCACTGAGGTTCGACAATTTGGTAGAAGCTCTCGCGCATGGAGTGAAACTCACACTCCTCATTTAACAACACGACTAATTCGAATAGAACCTTGTGGTATTTCGACGGACTACGAAGTGCTATAAGTGTAACGGGGCACCAATTTTTTGTATCGACACAGAACAACCTACTTACAGTGAACTTAGAGAGTCTACTTTATCCAAATACTAAAAGCACACGTATGTGCAGAGAACGATTTTTAGAAGATGTATCAGCACTTTGTTAAGGTGAAAAATAGAGCTGTATTTTTGCAGCTAATATTCTCTCAATACGTTCAATTTAAACTTCTCTCAAATTTGTTATAAAACAAAAATGAACTGTGACTTACTAAATGAGCAGATTACACTTGTCCCTCTCCATGACAGACAAATTTGTGCCAAATTTGTACAGATTGTCGAATGAAAGGCTTTCACAAAGAATATGTAAGTTATTTGTTGCACGATCTTATAACGACTGAAACATTGATTATTGGGGCATTTAAGTAGCGCCCCAGAAGGTGTCCCAATATGTAATGATATGTGACATATGTTTACTATTTCAGGGATCTTATATCGATCTTTTTTGATCCAGAGTACTAATTCTGGTAGGTACCTCATGAAAATTTATTCAGATCTGACTAAACAATACATGTGTCTCTACATGAGCGTACGAAGTACAAATGCAAAAGCAGACAGCACTGTAGTGTTTATCTGCACAGACAAGCGCTAAATCTTCATCACTTTCGACTTCTGTGGGCTCCGCTTTTGCTTATTTATACCCCTTGATCTTCATGAAATTTTTCGTGGTCCTCGATCACGAGAAATATTACACGCTAAAACTTAATTTTAGAATTTAAATCATGTCAGACAGATCGCAGCAGTCTTGTTGGAAGGCGAGGCTGGACTTTCGATAAGCATTTGTGTACGATTATTCAAAATCTGGGGCGCTTCGATGATCTCACTCAAAATTCAGGAACTTTAAAATAAACACCACCAATAGTTTTCCAGCTCATAGCTTTTAACGTAATGGCTTCTGAGACATTAAGTCTGCGCTCCACGTCTGCTTCATTCACACCCATGCGCTACCGCATATAAAGTTTCTACCTGCAAGCGTTTGACAATCGTATGATAGTTATTACGATATATGTAGCTCCGCATACTTAAATCATAATATCAACGCGTAACTGCATCGAGCGGTCGGCTGGTGTAAGTCATGTAAGGTGGGAAAAGGCCACGGTGAAGTTGTTGAGTCCTCGTCGGACGTTGTAACGGAAATGCGTTATACAGAAGAAGCAGTTCCTTGCGACCATGCATGTAGACGGTGATGTAGTGCAGCCACTCATAAAAGATAATTTCATCAGTCATGTAGGCATTTGAGTTTGACACGTATGCGATGCCACCCTTCTCGATCTCTACAACCTTGAAGGACCTTGGTTTTTTAATTTTCTGATGTCTAAGGTTTTGACGGTCCTCGGTTTTCTACCAGTTTTGGTAACCGTGACCGGTCCAATCCGAACCGCCTGTTCAGCTTAGTTTTTACGACGTAGTTCTTACGGTAATTACCATAGCTGATTAGACGCGTGGGATGATGAGACGCTTCACATAAAATATACGTGCACCGCATATAAATCATGTAGTAAGTAGTAAGCCCGATAATCAATCGCTTTCGAATCTCCCAACTAGTGAACAAGTCTCTTCTTCTGCACTCTCTTCAGCCTCTCTGCTCCATTCGCTCCGCTCTCTACCAATGCGACACAAGGGCTCTGCATTTTTGCATCACTTGCGTTGCAGCATAGAGAGCTGCCATCTGTACCCTTTAGCTCTTCTCGCCGTTGTTTTAAAGCGTAGATGATTTTGTTTGGTGGCAGGTCGTATTTTTTGTTTCATTCCAGATGAAACATCACTTAGAAATAGTACTTTCAACCATCAAATTCCAGACTTTGCTGCTCGCTAATCCTTAATGCATAAGCTCCCACTCTCGCCGGTCAACGATCACCTTTTAATAATTTTCAACCCCTAAAACTCTGAAACCAGTGTATAAAAATACGATATCATAATATTCGTAATTGCGGCCAGTTTTTTTTAGTTTGCAATCGGGCTGCTTCTTTAGGACAAGATTTTCGGACAGTCCGTCGCTATCTCGCCGTGAATAAGTACAGGCAGCTCCTTCGAGAACTCAGGATGTTATGCACGTTGCGTGGTAACACTTGAAGGTTTAATTCTCAAAGTCGGTTTATTTTATGAACATGGATTGATACACCGACGGTCTACTTATGTGGTTCTGCAACTAAACGCTTCCGTACGTCTGTACTTCATTAAGGCAAGGTTTGGGCGCTCTTTGCAGTGTTGAAATATGCTTTGTACTTCGCTCTAGTGAGAGAGATACTCGCTAAGTCGAAGTTTATGGGTTGCACGGACTTGATGTTGACAAGTACTAAAATTCTCTGGATGGACGTGTTAAACTAGTGGCGTGGTGTATCTATAGGATCTAAAACCAGTACTTCCCCCCATCAATTTCTCATCTAAATTATTAATAATTGTCTGCTGTATTTGTTGTCATGACATCACGGTGTAAGAGCTTCTCAAGCACGCCTATTATGACATGCTCTACGTCTTTACATTTGGTCACGTTCAAGGTCCTATGACGTTGCTGAATCGGCTCGATGTTTAACTAATTTTTGGCTAGAACAACTGTCATATTATATGCCACGTGTTTTTTAAAAGCAGCAGAAGTAGGGGTAGTGAGTCATGTGAAGAGGGTTTCCATTCAAATGGGCTAGTGCATTTCGTGTCTTATATCAATCTCGCTTAAAACACGAAAACGGAATACAAATTTCAATATAGTTTGTAAGATCCGGCGACATCGTGGCTCTTATATGGAGAGTGTCTCTAATGGAGAGTCGCTAACAGAAAGGGGTGAGTGTATGTCCAAATGCAGCGCATAATTTTTCTACAAAAATAATATTTGAGGAGCATATTTTATCATAGTATTATCATGACATTTACCGCATGCAATGATCATGGAACGGACACTTTCGTCACGGAGTTGACGTGGTTTGTAGTTTTGGTGTAAACATTCTGATCCAGCTCTTTCTTTTACATGACAGCGGCATATTCTCTCACTTCGTATACTGTAGAAGTACAGCAAATGAGCCAGCAGAGCTCACCGTTTGATCCTGCCAGCTGGCGTCCATCTTCACGTAATAGGCAGATGCCATGCCAAGAGCATTGTAATCTTCGAATAAGCGATACGAGGCCTCGATTTCCCGAGCGTTGCTCCAACTTCAATTGCCGTCACAGTCCACACACATTGTGCAACGCGATAATCGCATTGTTCCAGTGGCGCATAGGAGAAATGTCGGATAAGGCGGAATTGCTCGTGGATCATTAGCGATGGCATGACAAGCATTACCAACACAATTTGCTCCCACCGTCGACACCACGAGCATCTTAAGAGTGACAGGTCCTTCAAGCCATCGTTATCAGGCCTATTACCATAATACCTAGACGTGCTCACAAAAACTAAGCTACTCGGGACACATACAGTACATCGAGACCTGGTCACGGATCCTATGCACCAACCTACAAGTGTCACTTAGGATCGACGTCTCATGCATCACTGTATCCTGGCCAGTCTTCTCTTCCCACACTAAACACGTAACGTTCATCATTACACGAACAACACCTACATCCATTAAAAAAAGGCACAACGAGGTATTAGATAACTGTAGTGTCCAAATAAGCTGAGCACAGCAACCAGACAAAGTAGCCCAAAAGAGCTCTGCGTACTTGTTATAAATGCCGCCTGCCACAAGTTCCGCTCCGATAGCTTCGGTGCCTCTAGAACCACCGGAACAGACAACTCGCGGCATGCATCAAGCACCAACTTTCTCATGCTTCCTTCCAGAACACCTGTGGCTGCCGTGTACACTCGCTCGTCACGCACTGCATTGTCACAGACCGCATCATTGTCACGTTTAGTTCTACGTCTTCAAATCACATTTCCTCCTCTCCACAAATAGCTTCAGTTCGTACCGACAAAAAAGTTGGTAACAAGCCCTTCCAGCAGCACTTTATCCCCATCGGGTCCTTCTTTGCTCAGTACTGCTTCATGTATTGGTCCACGTCGCTTCTCTGCGACGCGCGCCATATGTTTCTCAATATGTACGCGGTCGTCGATCCACTTGGTGTATTTACATCGCGCGTTCTTGCGCATTTCTCCATACACCAACAATGTCGACACAGTCGACTGAATAATCGGCATTGAACAAATGTGCACCGCCAATCCGTAGCCATTGCTCGTGCCGTCTTCTACTAGTGGATACCAAAGCACTGACAGCATGCCATCAACAGTTTCAGTCGCTTGCCACTGTGTCAATACGGCCGTGACGACTCGTGCTGTAGCCATTTGTAACGTCTTGAGCTTCACCTTGTCGCACTTAATGTTTTCCGCCTCCAGCATCGAGAAGAGACTTGTGGTCAGACGGTGCATGTGAAACGGCCACTCGACGATCACTTTTGAGAGGTGATCCACCGAAGCCAACTTCGACATCCACTTCTTTGCTCTTACGCACGTGTACACACCGTCCGGACGCGACTGAAGAAAGGTCTTTGCGGAACAAAGTCCATCATCGGGTGTGTACACAGAAGGTACTTGAAATAGCGCTGCCGCAACGTCTCGAGTCTCGGTCACGAGCGTCAAAGGCATTAGGATTATTGATGGCGTAGAGCTTTTTCTACCGATAAATTAAGGTTGAGGTTCATCGTACCTAAGAGGATATATTGACCACATCAACGACACGTAGCTGACGTTTTGGCCGCCCATTTCGGACGTTTATCTGCCATGCTGCGTCGTACTTCCCAAGCGCTTATGACATCGATGGCTCGCGCGTGTGGTCCGCGCGGTACAGCGTCTATTGCTGGTGCTATCCGCGTGCAAAACGCGAGTATTTCAACGATCTACGACCTCCAGACGCCGTACGAGGTGCGTGCAAAGCGTGCACTGCCTAATCGGTAGTCAATGCGTGCTAATTCACTACGGTTTACGTGTAAAACGTCACGTTTTAGGACCGGAACCGTCACCGCAGTGATGCGGAGTTGCGGATCGCCAAGATACCGATCGTCGAGGTGGCTGGTACATTGGCAGTGTGTGACGGTGGAGGCGGCGCTCTGGGCCACCCGGTCGAGTACATTCAGCTGGACACGCGCAAGCAGAACAGTCCACAGACGTGCAAGTACTGCGGCGTGCAGTACAGAATGAAAGAGGGTTACCATGGTGGTCACTAAAGCGGGGAAGAGAGGGAGTCACTAAACGGAGGAGGCTGCTCTACAATTGTTCGACATGACTAGCAACAGGCAGCAGCCGAAGGGTACGCTGAAAAAAAACAGATGGAACGTGGACCTGAACTTGGATACATTGACGTCTGCAAGTGCTCAAACGTTCATCGTTCAAGTTTCTTACTTGGCTTCGTATTGTGATGATGGTGACGACGGTACGTCATCGCACGTATCCATCATGGCTTCCATGTAGCTCTCAATGGCACGATACCGCACTTCGCCTTCCTTGCGCATCAGTCCATGCTCCATAGTATCCAGATGGTCCTTGATGAGAGCCGATAGACCCACTAAGTACTTGAGTGTCACCTCGGGCGTCTGCATCTCAAAAAAGCTCAAATACTGCTCGGTAGCGATAAACCAGCAACGGTTGTCAGTGCACATGTTGAAACAGGTTCCTGACTCGGCATATAACAAACCGACGTACAGCTTCTAGTATGTCCAGGAAAAGAGGAATCTGCTTTGATGGTACATCCTTCAACGAATCTGCAATTCTCAGTGATCGCTGCAAACACTCTCGGACGCGCTTGCCATCTTTTTGACACGGATGCTAAACGACAGCAGGGAACAACACGTAACAGGGATATGTCAGGACACCATTCTACAATCAATACGATCAACCTCGGTGCAGTCACGCTAACTCACCCAGAAAAGGTGTGCGCACTTCAGCACCATCGAAGCCTGCTCGTTTTTCCTCGGCAAGTGCGCAGAGTATTGCGTGACCTTGGTGGCAAGAGCCTCATAGTTGGCACTCGAGAGGTTGCAGGTTGCACGTAGTGAAGCCACAATTAACTCGAAAGCGCGTAGCTGCTCACGGGCAAGCGTAATGTGGTCTTCATAAACGGTCAATGCCTGCGTAATAAACTCGCACGCCACTGTCTCAAAGGCACAGCCATCGGCGACCAGTGCACACTGCAGGTACAGCTGAACGCAGGAAACAGATGGCATGTTTTGTGATACCAATACCGTCACCATCTCATGCACGAACTGAAGCACTTCTCGAGGCGTTGTGACAACATTCTTCGTACCCTTCTCGGATACAGTGGCCTCTAACTCAGCCTTCCGTTTCAGCTCCAGCGTTTGTGATCTCTCTTGCCAATGAATCGCTAGCTCTCGAGCGAGTGCCAGTGACTGATAGATGAGCGGCAACAGCGTATAACGAATTCGATAAACCCCGCCTAGCACAAGCGCACGTCGTGCTACCTTAAACACACGAAACCTGACATCGGGATCACCATTTTCTACGAGGTGGACTACCTTGGCCAGCGTATGCTGCTCCATTTCCAGCACGTCGGCGTCCTTTTGTGTTCCCGTGGTCGTAGTTGACCCAGTCAAAGGCAGTGACCGCACTTCGTTAGGGTCATCATGCACCACTGGTGCCAGCACCGTCAGCACAAATGTGATTTGCTTTTCATCAATGATGCGCTCTTGCCTAGCAAGAAGCACGCGAATCCATATTAGAGCCACGTCTTTTCGCTCACCACCCCACGGCATTAGTCCGAGCACGTCAAGCAGTGACGGAACTTGCAAGAGGTTGTGGATAGATAGTGTCCGAAAAAGCGCGAGCAAAAGAGATTTTACCGCTAGAAGCACGGCATGGCGTCTTTGCTCGTCTACGCACCACGGTTTTTGCTCATGCAAAAATGTCAAGCATTTATAAAGAACCTGCTCAAGAGCAGTCGTCAAACGGGAACTTTCATCCGTGACGCCATCCAGCCAGGCGATAGCAAAATTAACCAGCGCCACGAAAAGTGACAGTACAGAGGTCAAGTTTATGTTCACGTCTTCACCGTCTCCTTCACTGAGAGCAACTTCATTCCTATCTTCACAATTTAATGAGCGCAACAACACTTTGATAGTCGTCGTCATTAGCCGCTGGAAAACCTCAAATCCGTCTTGCCGATCATATTCGATCTTGCTACACTCGTCCACTCCTCCCTCTTGCTGTCCCACACCCGTAACACTCCCTTGTGCTTCTTGGCAGCTTGTAAGGCGTTCAACAAGTGCCGTCAAGATCAATGCAACGTTGACATTCGACTGCAGTTTCTCCAGTGCACCCAACAGCCTCTCAAGATTATCGAAGTGAAACTCATCTGGGAAAACCTGAATGATGCAGTCCATCAAGTACTGCTGCGCAAGAGAGTCGTTGCATGCAAGAACAACATCATCCAGCAGCCTAGGCAATACCTGGTCAGTGTAGACGCTACGTGTGACACCATTCAACTGACTGAGCCGTACAAGGCTCGTCCCAACCAGCAAGCGCAGCTCCATTACCTCCTTCTCCCAAACGGCTTGTGGTCGAGAACCTCCAGCCTTCTGCTGCTGCAGACGAATCCAGAGCTGGTTAGTTTCTTGCAGGTTCTGCAGCAAAAACTGAATAGCGTCGCCAAAGCTGCCACCACCACATTGCTCGTACACAGAGCCCTTGTCCGGAAGTTTGTCGCGTATACTCAGCGACAGATAGTGCCTCAAAAAAAGCCCTCGCAGCGGATGCTGAACTCCTTTGATCATCTCCACTAAATCCGTCAATACTTCACGCGCTGGCGTCTCCCGAGACTTGATGTAAACAGCTCCAACTGTCACGAGCAAGTAGCTGCAACATCAGGAACACCATGAATAATGGATCATCGTTTTTACTTAGCCCATTGACCACTTATACGATACATCTTGACCCGTACAGTCTCGGTAGCACCTTACTACTGCTCTGGACGCGCTCGTAGAGATCGCACATGGAGGCACCAGCTTGCTCTTGTTCCTCTACATAGCTTTCAAAGTGCCGTAGCTGCTCGACTGCCTGCATATCTGCAGTGTATGACAAATGAAGCCATTAACTAAGAAGAATCACACAAATAAACGAATAAATAATTACGTAAATAATAAATATATATGAACTTTACAGAGTTGGTAGTAGTTTCTAGGACACAAAAGACTCGTGCGCAGTTCGCGCAGCACTTCGGCCGCGAAGTTGATCCCAGCGGCCTGTTCCTGCGCTTTAAACGCTCGTTGCATTTGCAATCCCTGATCACGCACGGTCCGCAGTGCCTCGCACAGTACGTCTCGTTCGCCCTGTTCATCCAGCACGAAGGGGCGTATCGTCATGGTCAAATTAATTTGAAACAGAAGGTGTCATTTAGAACCGTTTTAAAAACAGAGAGAGCGGGATAAGTTCGAAAAAGAGATCGGCGAAACCGCATGGATAAAACCCCGTGCGTATACTTTAAATCAGAAGGACGAAAAAGAGGAAGAGGAAGAAGGACACAGACGGTTCAAAATAAGAAGGTTCGATAAATAAGAGTCTCTTGGACGTTACGTAGACGGGCAAGAGTACTACTGCAGGGACACGGCGAGTGAGTGAGTAAATCCCGTTGCTTCAATCGACTGGTCCTCGTGGTCGTAGTAGAAATAGTAGTACGAGCTGGTAGTTCGCGACAACAGACACAATGACAAGCACCGTTCTCTTCCAGTCGACGCGTACCGTGGCTGCTTCTAATGTGGCAAGTGGCACTCTCGGCTCTAGATTTTCGAGCCAAAGACCTTGACAAAGCGACTCCGCAACGCCACCAAGACAATGATCTCCTCCCGTTGACGCACGCGATGACTTTCTTTCGTAAGCGACGCAATCATTCGCTTCATAGTAGAGTGTGTATCCTGATGTCTTTGCAGCATCTTCTGAATATGAGCGAGGAGCTCCAGTTCTTCGCAGCGCTCCTCTTTGAGCTCGTCGAGCTCTTGCTCCCGTGCAGCTAAACTCCCATTCTCATTCTCCTGAGACAACGGCGACCGGCGTAACGCCCCGATGTCGCGCTGCAGCTTGTTCATGAGCTCCTCGATCTCCTGCAGCCGCGCCGACGACTCGCTCACGTCGTCTTCGGACGTCAGAACGGCCTGTTTCTCAAGCACCACTTCTTCTTTCAGTCGTGTGAGCTGGTCGCGGATTGCCCGTGCGTAGAGCGTGAGTTTCTTTGCTGCGTTTTCCAGCTGGACCATCACGGGGAGGCACGAGTTGTTGCTGTCGTTGTTGTTGTTGTTGTTGTTGGTAGTGGTGGTGTTATTACTATTGGAAGGTGTCGACATGTTGACGACAAGAGTGCGTAATGGATCGAGAGAAATATCGGAGCTGCTGCGGAGGAGAAAGCTGATTGAAGAATGATGAGCTCTCCATGCGGGAGAAGCGTCGTGATGGAGGCACAGCAGCGGTGGGGGAGCTGCTCGACGAGCAACGCGCGAATGATGTGGCGACCTCCACCTGCTGAACCGTGAGGGCTCGACGCTCTTGATTGGTCGAGCGGCGTCTTTTCGTGGCAAAACAGATAGTCGTTCCAAAAGGACCAAGTCGTTTTGCTTTTGGCATATCAGAGTCCCAGTTTTGGTCAGACTGCGCGTTGAGCGAGCGATGAATCCGTGGGTGGATGGATGGATGGATATATAATATGGATGATTAAATAGAGAGTCTTTCTTGGGCGAATGAGAGCCTGTAGAAGCGAGGGCGCTTTCTCTCGCCGCACGCACGCACGAAAGATAGACAGACAGGTAGACAGGTAGACAGACAGACAACGTCTGGTTGTTTCAGCTCTGCTGTAGTAGTGTATGATTCTAAAGCCGGCGGCAACAGCCAAAGAAGAAGTCGTGAGAAGCAAATACAACCGAAAGGCTCCGATGGTAGTTCTCGATCGAAGGAATGATACAGGCGTTATCAAACTTCTCTACAAGCTCATTTAACTGCGGCATACTAAAGCCTTGACCCAACGTGGGACATCGACAAGGATGGCTGCATCCATTGCGTGCACCTCTTCCCTGTGCATCTTACTTCACGGCGATGATTTACGATTGATAGCTGACGAAGGCACATGTACGAAGACTCGGAAGTAAAGACGCGGCGCCTCTGCGCGATGACGCGTTCTGAGCTCAGTTGCTCGGTATTGACGTTTCGCGGTCCAGTCTGTGGATCCATGACCGCGGAAAGGGCAGTTGCAAATGAGCCTGTGATTGCAGTGCTGTAGGATCACCATTACCCTCTCCAAGAGTAGTTTGTGTCCTAGGGCACTGCTTTCACAACAAGACAACCTGCACCTATCGGGCGTCCAGAAAGCGACCACGATGTGTTATGGACGAGAAAAGACGCACAAGAGGTGGAACACGAACACTGTACCACCATGTCGTCTGTGACCTAAACTGCGCATCTCACGTCATCATACCTTGCCGCCCTTCAACAGACATCGCGCGAGACTGCGGTGCGTACACTGCGCTGGCCTGTGAAAAACCGATCGCATGTTCGCGTTCATTTCTTCACCGTTCTGTATCGTGTCTGTCCCACTTTAGTATACCGGCGACAACAGAAACAGCTCACGGACCTCGAACTACAGGTTGCACACAAAGTCTACAGACCACACACGCCTGTCTCGGTACTGGCGTTTTACTTAGGCTTTTGGGCAGAGCGGAGAAAAGATGGGAACACTCTGCCTCGTGCGCGGTCACCATTCTAAATCACTAAACATCATTGTACGAACCCCAACACAGGCAGTGCGATGGTTCAATCGACAAATCAAAAACATATGACCGGGTCGACTCTTCACATGTGACGGAGATGTCTGCTGACCCGCAAAGAGAGAAAAAGACGTGACGCGATAGCATCTTCATGGTACGAGAAGTTGAGATTGGTCGATCATGCCTTCGAAGAGGGCGGACCGAGTGGCGTGCGCGTCGACGGGCCATTCGCCGTTTCCTTCGAACACTTCGCCGTGTCTAAAGATGGACCGTAACTGACAGATTCTACTTTCGATCGATGGCTGACTCAGATTAACGGCACGCAGCTACAATCAAACGGGTCTAAGATGTTTCGATTTCTTCATGCACCACACTGCAGCGTTTGGTCTCGCCACGAGCTCATCTGTTTTAGCGATAATCAGGGCATCTTATCTTCTTAGACCAATGCTGTTTGCATACAGCGGTTGCAAGCCGGTGCTATCGCAGTACGTCACAATCTTGTACGTTTTTCGGCATTGTCGAGTGGTGAGGTTGTTCACGGAGACTTGACATCTAAATGCATACACTTGTTCGGTTCTGAGCCACGCCAAACACGTCGTTTCGATCGAGTCCCTTAGCTTTCTTTTGCAGAGACTCGTCTCGTGTTTCAACTGCTTCAAGTTGACGTGACCCTCAAGCTCGTCATTGACACCAATCTCGCTGCTGAATCGCCACTAGAAGTACTTGACTGACTGCTATGTAGTTGTTTCGCCACCGAACGAGCTCAGTGCCACATCCGCCACATATACAGCGTAGTGTTTGCAGAAAATGCTTGCGTTTTGGTAAGAGTTAATTTGCTAGCTCTGTTACAGCCAATTTACAGCTTGGGTACAACTTCACCGACACATCCTCGAGCTAAGGCTTCGCTGCATCAGAGAACGAATACGTTTGCGAACCGGACGCTATGCTATAAAATAAAAACCAACGGACTTAGACAACTTCATGGGGTACAGCACCAGCTTCTTCGAATCGGAGGGTAAAGTGTCTGTGCATAAATTATCCGGGATACACGTATCACTCGACATGGACAATGCTGCCGTCGTGTTAAGGTGATTGATGCAGTCTAATATTTACTACGAAACGTGTATATTCAACTGTGCTGTCCTCGCATCACATAGCAGCACATTGGCACCGTGATACATGACACGATCTTGCGCGTCTATTACCTTCTGCGTAAAGTCAAAGTCCGGCAGGATCATTTTTATAGCAGCACAGTCTGATCGGCGAATTATGGAGCCTTACACGCGGTGATCTTGAGCAGGTCTTCACGATGTCATGTGCTGCACGTACGTAAAGCACGCGGAGATATTGACAACGGGTCATCGTGGCATCCGACCATTGCAACGTGGTCGTACTAGCATATGTTCATCGGTCATATTGAAGCACTAGAAGTAAGTCCGACGCAATCGTGTTTGTCAGCTTCTGTGAGCGAAGTTTATGGTCGCTTACATCGTCTGGTCTGCCAACTACTTACATGTCATGGCCAGACAACGAAAAACATGATCGGTACTGCCTTCTCGTCTAGTCATGCACGTGAGCAGACTAACGTAATTTGTAGAAAATTTGCAGAGTAAAGCGATTTGGAGCATTGATTAGGAACGATAAGACCACCACTTGTTAAAATCCAGCCAATCAAGTATTTGCGATGATATCTCAACTCGATTCACGTGAGGGCATAGCTGTAGCATAAGCGCAGGGATCAGATATCTTTCAGACCATCCCGGATAGTTACTTTTTTCAAACGATTTAATCTTTCGCCTTTACTAAAGATTACCGTGCAATTTGTTGATGATGTACACTTTGTGTACGCTTAAACGTCATGATGACATTTGATTGTAAACGTTTTGAAACGGACACAAAAGTGAAACCTCAGTAGTCGGTTAAATGACAGGGAAACGACACAGGCGAGACCATCGTAGTGCTTCTACGATAAGTAGCTGAATGCATATGCAGGTTTGTCAAAGACTAAAATGCTTTCCAATTTACTTCCTGGCTACTAGTTGCCCTCCCTCTGCAATATTACCTCAAAAGGTTATGAGCCCAAATACTGTGGGAGCGAACGATGTTCTCAACGTAGATAACTACTTCGCATGAGAATTCAATGCGCGGATGAAGCTCGCCAGGAAAGGGCTGCTGGAGCACATTGACGCGACGAAGGCACCGCGAGGAGATGACGCTAATGCGGCATTTTGGAAAGTCAACGACATGAAGGCCTTTGCAAATGTTTGCACGATGATCAGCCCAAGCCTTCAGTCCATGGTTCGGGATGCAGCAACGACTGCAGAAGCGTGAAGGATTTTGAAGAGCTTTTTACTTCGCAGAAGCATGTAAAATCGGGTGCAGATGCGTCGACAGCTGCACGAGTTCGAGATGCAAAAGGGAGACATTCTAATGGATCACTTTTTTTAAGTTCGATGAGCTGTGCATGTCAATGCAAGCTATGGTGACGAAGTTGTTCAGGATGAGCGACTCGTAATTTTACTCGGAAGCCTATATGATGAATACGACCAGATAGTCAAGATCATCGAGAACATGAAGGACACGGATCTATTTCAAGCCAAGGAAATGCTTCGTCGTGACTACGAAGGCATTGCTCGGAAGGAGAAGAGCGAGATCGCGTTGAAGGCTACAAGAAGGCTCAAGAGCAAGAGTTTTCGGCCAAAGGAAGCAAGGAACAAGTTCACTTGGACGTGTAATATTTGCGGCAAGTATGGGCGCAAGAAACAAGATTGCTGAAAAATCCGGACAAGAAGAAGAGCTCTGATCAAGCTTTCACTGTTGGTGAACATTGCTCTAAAGGTTGGCTACTCGACAGTGGAGCGAGCAGTCATATGTGTCCAATTAAAGATGACTTTGTGGAGATCCAACCACTAAATAAGTCAATTGGAGTTTCGATTGCGAATGGAGAAACGATTGTGGTTGATGGTGTTGGGACAATTCGTGTCTTACTGAAAAAGAAGAAGTTAATTCGCATTGAAGACGTGTTGTACGTTCCTGATCTGGATCGTCGTCTTCTTTCTTTTCCTGCATAGTCTGCTAAAGGGTTACACGTAAGCCTTCGCAATAAGACATGTGAGATCAGGAATTCTCGAGAGTTAGTGACTCAAGTGACCCGAAAGGGCAAGTTGTTCGTGCTTGAATATGATACTATAGAATCTGCGAGCGTGACTGAAGAAGTTGGCGGTGGAACCAAACCTGTGAGTTCAAGTGTGTGGCATGCAATACTTGGACATCTGCCAATGAAGGCAATGAAAAACCTTGGCAAGTGTGTTGAAGGGCTTACGATGGAAGATTTGTCTGTTGTGGATGTTGATCAAGACGAAATATGCGAAGGATGTGTGACCGGAATGTTGTCAGTCAAGCCGTTCCCGAAGTCTACTTACGGCGAAGAAAAGACCACTTCATTGGTCCAAGTTATCCACAGCGACGTATTGGGACCAATGGAGACCAAGTCGCAAGGAGGAGCAAGATTCGTAGTGACATTTCTGGGTGCTTATTCAAGATATGTCGATGCTTAATACATTCCACACAAGTCAAATGTGGTCGCCAGTTCATCGAATACAAGACGATGATGGAAAACTAGTTTAATACCAAGATCAAGTGTATTCGCACTGACAATGGTGGTGAGTACATTACCAAGCGGTTCACAAAGATATGTCGAAAGACCGGTATTGTGCACCAAGCGACAGTGCCGTATTCGCCGCAGCAACACGGAATGGCTGAACGACTAAACCGGACACTGACTGAGCGAGCAAGATCGATGCTTAATTACATGCAAGTCGAGAAAAAGTGGTGGGCTGAGGCTATTGATATTTGCGGTATTCGTGACTAACCGAGTCACTTGCGCTTCGAACCCTACCAAGACTCCAGTTGAAGCATGTTTTGGGACTAAGCCTGACCTGTCCCACATGAGAGTATTTGGTGCGAAAGGTTACGCTCACTTTGCAAAACCAAAACGTCTAAAGTTGGACAAGAAGGCGTTTCAATGCATGTTTCTGGGCTACTCGCATGAAGTGAAGGGATATTGTGTCTGGAATTTTGATTCAAATAGACTGGAGCTCACGCGATCAGTGACTTTACAAGAGTTACCAAAGTCCAAGTATGTGCAAGTGATTGCGAATGTACCTGCTACTACACGTGCGAGTTTCGACGATGATGATGATGCTGGAGTTGTGCAATTACCATCTACGTCAACCCATAGTGAAGTGGAACTGATGATTGTAGACCATACTGGAACTTACTAAGTCGTATCATTACCAAGTGAATTTAAGTCTTGAATCCACGACAGGAATTTCAACACATACCTAATTCTGCTTTCGACATCGAAGATGTTCACATGAAGCCGACTGATCTGGATGCCAATACAACTCGGGACATTGTGCCCAGGGGGAGATTGATGAATCCCAGTGATTATGCAGTGGTGCAATCATGTCACTATAATGGACAACATGTCCATCTTGTGCTACCATCATCGAGCTGTGAAGATCAAGCTTTAGTTCCAGTCGGGATGTCTAATACACCTGCTACAATGCACAGTGATGATTCAGACATTCGCGCGTCAAAAAGATACCGCATTGAATATGAACAAGCGAATGCAACACTCGAAACCCCATCGACATACAAAGACGCAATGGAATCGCCGCAGTCTAAGATGTGGAGCGAGGCAATCAACACCGAAGTGATGGCACTAAACAAAAAGAAGACATGTACAGCAGTGGAGAAATCGCCATACACAAAGGTGATCGGAACCAAGTGGGTTTTTGCCATTTAGCGGAATGAACTTGGAAAAGTTGTTTGATTCAAGGCACGGCTTGTTGCTTTAGGGTATCGACAAACGCTTGGTGTGGATTACTACGAGACGTATTCGCCGGTCGCAAACATGAACTCTGATCGTGTATTTCTTGCCGTGTGTTGTCATTTCGGCGTGATAATACACCAACATGATGTTGACATAGCCTTCTTAAATGGAGTATTGGAAGAAAATGTAAACATTTCTACCCCTCAGGGCGTCAACATGGACCCAAGTCAAGTTTTGAAGCTCAACAGAAGTTTGTATGGATTAAAAAAGGCTGCCTCGACGTGGTTCAAGACGATTTCAAGTGTTTCTAAGAACATGGGTTTTATGGCATGTGTAACAGACCCGTGTGTTTTCATCCGTCGCGATGGACACCTTTCGTGGATTTACCTGACACTGCATGTAAACGATATGCTGATCGGAGGTAATTCTGCTATTTCAATTGACAAAGTTGCAGATGAACTTTCCAGTCATTTCAAGTTAAAGACGCTCGGAAATTTGAGATTTATTCTCGGCATTGAAGTGGAGTATGCACACCAGACAAAGAAACTCAAGATCAGTTAAGCTGCGTGACTTAACAGAATGATCGTCAAATTTAATCAAGTTGGGGCGAAAGCGGTCAACAACCCAAGTGTGGGAGGTCAAGCCATACTCAAGTGCGAGAAAAAGGACCCCAAGATGAAGAGCCGACCCTATCGATCTTTTGTCGGATCGCTCCTATATGTGGCAACAGGTTCAAGGCCCGATGTTGCATTTGCAGTGGGTCGCCTGAGTCGACATTTGGAAAAACCAAGTGAAGAACACTGGAACGCAGCCATTCTGTGTGCTGCGCTACCTAAAGTCAACTGCAACGCACGAAATTTGCTATCGTAGCAAGCCTGGTGGCCTCAAGCTGAGTGCATTTAGCGACGCAGATTGGGGGACTGACAAGGATAATCGATGTTCGACATCAGTAGTTATGGTGATGGTCAACGACTCTCCAGTCATATTCAAGTCGAACCTTTAAAGCACTGTATTACAAAGCACTGCTGAAGCTGAATATGTGGCACTTTCGTTGTGTATTCAATAGATGTTGTGGACCAAGAGTTCATTGATGGAGATGAAGGTCAAGATTTACGCTCCAGGTATTGTGTATGTAGCCAATTAAAGTGCAATTGCTATTGTGAAAAATGAAGGATACCAAAGTCGAGCGAAGCACATTGATGTTCGCGATCATTTTGTTCGCGATCAAGTCAAGGCCAAGGTTGTTCAGCTGGAGTATTTTGAAACCAAGTTACTGCTCGATGATTTTCTGACGAAGGCGATTTCGACCAACAAGTTCCAGTTTCTCGTGGCAAAGACAAACGTTGGAGACTTCTAGTCGAGGAGGAGTGTTGATGATGTACACTTTGTGTACGCTTAAACGTCTCGATGACGTTTGATTGTAATCGTTTTGAAACGGACACAAAAGTGAAACCTCAGTAGTCGGTTAAATGACAGGGAAACGACACAGGCGAGACCATCGTAGTGCTTCTACGATTAGTAGCTGAATGCATATACAAATTTGTTATAGACTAAATAGACTTTCCAATTTACTTCCTGGCTACTAGTTGCCCTCCCTCTGCAATATTACCTCAAAACAAATGACTCAAAAATATGCGGCTTCAATGGTTTATGCAACCCCTGATTGAAATGGGCCATCCCGTTACACAAGTAGTTTCGATTAAGTTTACATGTTACTTAAGCAGGGGAGCTTCTTCCGAGGTAGCGGAAGTAGTACGTGATATATTCTTGCTAGTTCAATGGGCTTAGTCCTATTATTAGCCGGTAAGATATAGGCAAGTAGATTGAGTTGTTACCATGAGTCCAAGGGAACCATTCTTACACAGGATGATCAAAAGATACAAATATAAACAGATTTTATAATACTGAACACCTTAAACTGGGTCTAGGCTTTCTAAGCATAGATATTGTAAGTTAGTACGTGTTGTTCTAGCCCTGTTACACCTGGTAGCACTTAGTAGTTTATCCCATGCCCGAGTTTGGGATGAGCGATTCGTCGTACTTTGACGCTCCAGACGTGAGTCTGGAGCATGCGACTTTTTCCCATCTCACTGTTGTTGAGTTGGATGCCCTTAATCGCCTCGCGGCAATATCTAAAGAGGCATTCGTTGTTTCGCTGATGAAATCAGCGACATCTGATGGACAGCGTCTCGCCATACACGACTTCACGGCCCACGAGCTCGCCGAATCCAATCGGCATGGTCTAACTCCATCGAGAACTTCACGGAACTATGCCGTGAAGATGGAGACCTCCGTCTACTCTACCGAAGGCAAAGAACGCTTGTCGCTGTCGCGTTGGTTCAAAGAGGTTGACATCGCTATCGCATCTAGAAAATTCGAGGCTCCTCAAGCAAAGGTTAACTTCCTCCTTTCCCGTCTTACTGGGAAATCCAATGAGTGGGCTTTTGGGTAAACTCGTAGTGGCCGAGTATGCGTTCCCCACTCTGGAAGCCATCCAGAGTGACCTTTGACTCGCCTTCGAGCCGCCACAAGAAGAGAAGTTGGTGCGATCTAGGTTTCTGTCCTTTAGAAAGGGCAAGTTGGCCATGCGCGACTTTGTGCAGAATTGGCTCGACATCTGGCGTCGTGCATTGTCACGCATCCCATGGACATGTACACACAAGGGAACGTGTTTGCCGATGGCATGCGTGAAGGGCAGACTCGCCTTTCGCTGGAACGCGCGGAGCCTTCCACGTTGAAGGAGGCTTTTGCTATCGCCCTCCGTGAGGACTTAAGAGTCACCAAGGCCTACACCAAGCCTTCAGTTGTTATCGCTGTCAGATCAGCGGGCCCGGAACCTATGGATATTGATGCGATTGAGTCGTCAAGTGACCGACGAAGTGTTACGTCCTACATGAGCGAAGTCCGTAGCGGACGTCAGATGACTGCTTTCGATGTCGAAAGTCGAGACATCGCGTGGCAGAATGCCTCGCGCCAGCACTTATGTTGGCGCATTCGAAGGACACCCATCACAAGGGAGGTGCTCCGCCCTCTGGGTTTTAAAACGGACGATACCAGTAGGGGCAGGGCGCCCTTCTGATTTGAAGGGAGGTCCGGGTCCACCGGTGGCAGCCCGACCTCCCAGCCCATCTGTGCTGCGTGCACGGTCAAATGCCACCACTATGATTGGTTATTTACCCCTTTTTATTTTTAATCTGCATGTCGCCGGTATTCGGCGACCTCTACGAGCGCTCCTGATTCAGGGGCGACAAATTATTTCTTTCGTAAATCTTGCGTGTCACTGCTGCTACCTAGCATCCAGGTCCACGAGGGACCTGGCCAAGTTGTTGTCAAGCTCGCTGACGGGAAATCACGCCGCGTATCGCGGCGCGAAGTGTCGTTGCCATTCACGTTTGACGGCTTTCGCAGTTACGACAATTTCTTGGTGATTGAGATGAATCATGCGTCTGATTGCATCGTGGGCATGCCATGGTTGGCACGCTATAATCCCCAGATCGACTGGCTAGCCAGATCAGTGAGACGTCGAAGTAGGTTCGACGTCAGCAAAGTGTTCACTCATCTCTTGGTGTCCGCAAGTGATTGGCCGAACGTTACAGTCGTGGATCGTACATCCACAACCCCGGCGGCGCACAGAGTGAGCGATGGCCCTCTCTGTACCGCTTGTTCCGTGTTCCTACGCACGAGTGACGATGTCTCCTCGCTTTGCAGCGAGAAGTACGACGTGGACGAGCAGTGGCTTCAGCACGAAGACAACGCGGTTAAACAGAGGTTCCCGCACGAGAGAGCAGTGGTCGAACTGGTGGTCCCATCTGCACCCATTGTGGTCGAACATAGGCTCCCACAAGGTCAAGATGTGGCCGAGCAGGGGCTCGCCACCGAGTGTGACGTGGATGGACACGAGGCCCCACGTGCGAACATGATGGTCCAACACGGGTTCCCATCATCACCCACTGTGTTCGAACGGAGGTTCTCACATGAGCAAGACGTGTTCGAGCAGGGGCTCCCACACGAGTTTGTGGCGGTCGAGCAGGGGCTCCAGCATCATCGTCGACATACGAGTATGGAATTCTCTCGTCGCACGATTTTGACGTCCTGGATGAGGACATCCAGAATCTAGTGGGGTGCAGATTTAACACCTGACTGCGGTTCGCCAGCTTCGAGCATGGACTCGAAGCACGATGGGGACGCAAGATACCTGAACTCAGCGTTGGGATGTGCCCACGCTGTTGTGTACGTGGACGGGAATCCACAACGGCGCCAACACGTTAACGTCGCGAGTCCACCTCGCGACGCGTCGTCGATTACGAGACTTCCAGGACTCTCGTGGAAGCATTTTGTACGCTACCTCATGGGAGCACGGTTAAACAAGTATGTCTGGTCACCAACGAGGTGACCTATGAGCCGAATGAGGAGCAAATGACGCGCCCTCGAAGCGCTGAACAAATGTCAGCGCGCGAAGAAAGATTTGCGCCGCAATCTTGGGAGGCTCTGCGCGAGTCTGGTAACCCTGTCTACGACATTTCTCGAGAGTACGCAGTCGTATTCCCGGAGAAGATTCCGGCTGAACTTCCTGCTGATCGTGTTGTTCGGCACAAGATCGATCTCGTGCCAGGATCGAAGTTTTGTGTGACACGGCAGTGGCCGTTGCCTCGAGACCAAGTCGAGGATATTGATGCATTCTTTGAAGGTCGTCGCAAGGCCGGTCGTGTGCGTGAGAGTGTCACACCCCATTCGAGTCCAATTTTCTTCGTGAAGAAGGCTACGGAAGGCTAGCGTATAGTGCATGCGTTTAGCAAGCTAAACGATGCCACGGTTCCTGCCCAAACGCCTATCCCCAGAAAAGACATGGTTCTCAACTCCATGTCAGGAAGCGTCATCTTCAGCGCTATCGACTTAACCGATGGCTTCTACCAGATCTTAAGGCGATAGAGCGACATACCACTCACAGCGGTGAGTACCTCGAGTGGTTTACTATGGGAGTGGCTGGTGATGCCACAAGGATTGAGGAACGCACCAGCCACTTTTAATCGCGTGTTGTCCCAAGTGCTGAGACCGTTTCAAGACTTTGCTCCTGGCTATTTCGACGCCATTTATTTATAAACAGTAGCGCTTAGGACAACCTCAGTGCTGTCCAAGTACATCCTCAACACCCGAAGCAGGTTATCCAAGTCATGCGGGATTTCATGTTATAAGTAAACTTGAAGAAGTGCGTATTCTGTGCACCGGAGATGTCCGGTGCTAGGTTGCTATGTGAGCAAATTGGGGACCGAGCCGACCCAGAGAAGGTGTCGTCGGTCTGTTCTTGGCCAACACCCAAGAACCTTAAGGAGCTGCGTCAACGTATCAGTAAAGACAACTACTCGAATCAGTAAAACAAACATTACGCCGATTCCATACAACTTATGTCGTCACTGTTAAAGAAAGACGCCTCAGGGTTCGTGGCGTCCCGAACACGCGAACAAGCGGCCTTTGACGCAGTGAAGAAGAGTCTAGATTCAATGTCAGTGGTGGTACTCCCATACGGCACCAATCCGTTTCACGTCGTGTGTGATGCAAGTGACTTTGCAATTGGTTGCGTTCTCATGCAGTTTGATCATGAGGGCCGTGAAAGATTCGTGAGTTACCACTCACGACATATGAAGCCGGCGGAGAAGAACTATCCAGTCCACGATAAGGAGCTATGCGCTACGAACTCATCAAGTTTCGTGTCCACCTATTGGGTGAACGCACGTTCGCCCTGTATGCTGATCATGCATCGCTGCGTACAGCGATAAAGAGCCCACATCTGTCACAGCGGATGGCGCGGTGGCTCTCTTTCTTCTCCGAGTACGACTTCGTTTTGCACTAAAATCCAGGCAAGACAAATAGTCTTGCTGATGCGCTGTCATGGCGCCCAGATTGCGACCCTCGTGCGGCACTGAGTCGTCAGAAAACTGACGACGACGATGAGGAAGATCGATGTGTGACATGTGTGTCTTTTAATTTAAACTCGGGTCACACTCGAGCCATGCCTTTTCGATGCAATCGTCGCAGCTTACTCGAACGATCCAGATTACGCGGACATTGTTGCTTATCTACGCGCTCCCAGTGATGATGTACTGGGAGCTCTTACGCGAACGAAGCGTGATCACATCCAGCGATACAGCATGAATGGTGATTGCTGTTATACAGTACCGATCGATTCAATGCTCCTCAAACAGTAATCGCGAATGACTTGGATCTGCGTGCTAGGATCGTCCACAAGTACCTTGATGCCCCAGCTGGCGGTCATTTGGGCCGCGAAAATACTTTCGCGTCTGTATCGCGTGACTCTTTCTGGCCCCACATGTACAAGTGGGTTCGCAACTGGATTCGTGCATGCGAAATCTGTCAAAAAGTGAAGCTATCTCCATCGTCGCAAGCCCCCCTGCGAACCTTGCCGATTGCAGATGAGGCTTGGCGCTCAGTGTCAATGGACACTATCTTTGGGTTAGCGCCCGACAGTCAGAACCAAACCGGTATCCTGGCCTTCGTGGGCAGATTTAGAAAGATGACACACTTAATGCCTGATCGTGCAGCAATCAACGCGGCTTGGACCGCGGTGCAATTCATTGACACAGAGTTTCGCTATCACGGTTTACCAGACGACATTGTATTGGACCGTGATCCTCACTTCACATCTGCGTTCTGCACATCACTGTTTGAGCTCCTCGGCACGAAGTTGCAGATGTAGACGGCAGCCCATCCGAAAACGAATGGGAAAAAAGAGCGGGTCAACCGGGTCCTTGAAGATATTCTTCGACGTTATGCTACTTCCTTCACTTGTTAGAGCGCATTCTCGCCACTGGCTGAGGTTTTCACTTAACAACGCTGTTCACGCGTCAGCGGAATTGACGCCATTCTTTGCGAATTCATCTCGTCACCCTCGAGTTCTTGCTCTTCTTACCGTGGGTCAACCACGGCTCTTCGTGGCTCCACTCTGGAGGGGGGGGGGTGAAAGTGACAATCAACTATCGAGTGCAGCCCACGGTATTTAAGTGCAAATGTAGTCGACCATTTCGAGTCAAAGTCCGCTGTTATGACGCCACGATACGTGGCGTCCCTGCTAGCTCGATGGACGACGCAAACACTGATCGACCCTTCTTCGGGTACGCGCTCACCTAAAGACAACTACGCGATGATTGAGTCGGCGCGACCAATTGATGATATGGCTGTGTCGGAGATCACACGTCAACGTCAAGCGACAACGAGGTTTGTACGAGATACTCTTCGTTCTGCAGTGGATAAGCTGAAAGAGAATGCAGACAAACGTGGAAAAAGAACATATGTAAATTCAATAAAGGTGACCGTGTGTTGCTATCTACTGAAGGCTAATGCGATTCGGCAGTTACCAATTTAGGCGCGAGTGATCTCGCGCCACAATTCATCGGTCCATTTACGGTGCTCAAGACGATCGGAGACGCCTCCACGCTGGATATCCCTTCGTCGTTGCGCCTATACCCGACGTTCTACGTCGGGCGACTGAATGAGTAACGCCCGGCTCCGCTTCACGGGTTGGTTCCGACCCTGGAGGCAAAGGCTCAAATGTTGACCTACCTTCCGTCTTGCTCGACGCGCCGAGGAAATTGGACGCGGCTTCGTTCCAATCTGCGCGTGCCCAAGAACATGGTATTCCATGTTCCTCATCCTTTCGAGCAGTTCGCGGTTCGACTGTCGAATCTCGCTCGAAGTCCTCTCATCCCGTCAGCACGCTCAGTTGCAGCCTCTGCTTCCAGCTGAGCATCGACAGCCTTGTATACCGTCGCATCCACATCGTCCTGGGAAACCAGGACGCCAACGCGATCATCGTGAGGGCCCACCCCCGCTTATAGATGTGGCAAGGCAGAAGAACTGAATTTTGGAGCGTTTACTAAGACACGAGGAGCCTCGTCGCTACCTCAAGCGCAAACGCGCGCAAGTACCGTGTGCGCTGGCTCGGGTTTTACCCGAGAACACACGTGGGAACCGCTTTCGTCACTTCTTCAAAACGTTCTAGACGTCGTTCGGGCATATGAGTCCGTGGACACGCTCAATCTTGATGCGTCCGACAACGTTTGTATTCTCGTGTCGAGCGAGAACGAGATGATCGACGACAACGAGACCAAGAGTGAAGACGATGTCGTGGTGAAAGATCATCACGACCACGAGAACGAGAGTCTCGTTGTGACGAACGTGCTTCACCACGACTACGAGAACGAAAGCTTCGTGGCGAACGTGTATCACCAATTGAACGAGAAAAAGATCGTCTTGGTAGATATGCATCACGACCACGAGAACGTAAGCGTCGTGATGGATCCAGATCACGACCACGTGAGCGAGAGTGGTGTCGCCGCATCGACGCGCCACAAAAACAGCGGTCTTCCGCTCATACAAGCTTGCAATCCGGAAAGGTCGTATAGCGCCCAAGGGATCAAGTGCTGGTCCATCACGCAGTCTCCAGAATTCCCGTTAACTGTGCGCGGGAGTGCTGTGTCGTTGGTGTACGCGTCTTCGGTCATCGTTTGCTTCGAGTGACCGTTGGGGTATTGCACTTAAGCACTCCCGGTTCGTGAGTGTTTTTTTGAGAATGGGGTGATGTAATATGCCACCCCGTTACATAAGTTGTTTCGATTAAGTTTACATGTTTCTTAAGTCGGGGTGCTACTTTCAAGGTAGCGAAAGTAGCACGTCGTATATTGCAGCTGATTTAATGGGCTCTGATTTATTATTGGCCAGTAAGAAACAGGCACGTAGATAGATTGGTTAATATGGGTCCAAAGGAATCATTCCTACATAGGATGATCAAAAGATACAAATATAAACAGATTTTGTACTACTAAACACCCAAAATTGGGTCTAGGCTTCCTAAGCATAGATAGTTATCAGTTAGTACGGGTTGTTCTAGCCCTGTCACACTGATGAGACTTTTCGTTTGCCCCATGACTATTTACAAAGATTTTTTATAAACAGACCATTTTCTACTTAGCAACTCGAATGAGACGACCGTTGAAATCGTCGCGAGTCGATCTCATAGTGTCATCCATATCACTATCTGTAACACTTTAATCTACTCGATTAGCTAACATGTCAAACGACGTGAAAATATCTTACGCTGCGGTGTGGGGGTTCTCGGTATGCAAAAATTATTGTTATCAGGTTGCAAGAAAAGGCACATAAGTGCTGAGTCTTAGCTACGAAAGCTGCGTGTTTACAGCCCTCACTCTGTGTATATCGCCCTCACTGTGTGTTAATCGCCCTCACTGTGTGGACATCGCCCTCACTGTGTACATAACGCCCTCACTGTGTACATAATGCCCTCACTGTGTACATAACGGACTCACTGTGCACGTGATGCCTTTATAGCGCTACAGTATGATTTTAAAGCAGTGTGTGTCCCACAAGGTGCTTTGTGCGAAGTACTTCTACGGACTTGTGACAAGAAATTTGCAGAAATTATAAAGATTAATAAGCTCGCTCCTGAGGTCTTGTAGTGTAAAGGGGATGCACGTAGTTAGGTACCTGGCATTCTGTGTCTTAGACTCACGGATGATATCCCACTGAAAGAGATTTAGAATATCTTATCGGTTTATAGGGGCTATCAGGTGTCAGCCACTAGATATGAGAGATCTTAGTAGTACTAAGATCTGGACACATGTGTCCATATTAGGATTAAGATATTCGTAGGTTTAAATGTAAATAAAATCCAGTCTCCCTTTTGATCTTAAAGACACGTGCCTTGCGAGGCGTCTTTGTTCGTTGATCACTGATCTCTAAAAGTTAGCAACACCTCGGGAAGGTAGCTAGTTACTCTTGAGCAATAAGTGCTGTCGATCCACTAAATCGGTTGGTCCCCTGGAACAAGGGCCATAATCTTTACGCTTGTTGACTCATTAAGTCTAGTTCTTTAGAGATAAGTTGCTCGTTGAGCATTAAGTCTTACTCTGACTCAAAGAGCTGTGTAGCTCTGCTGCATTTGGTAGCATTCGTAGTCAATCTACAACTGAGTCTTTAGACTGATCCTCTGTGAGGATGAAAACCCCCACTCCCCTCGCTGATGCCCAAGAGGTCCCGCTTGATTAGCTGAACGCGTCTTTGGGTTAATGAAACGTGGAGCTCCTTGTTTCACTAGGCCCTGAGGTGTAGAATGCACGTGTTAAAGGCTTCATGCAGTATAAAGCAACCCTGATAGGGCAGGTCCAAGCCTAAATAGCGTCGGCTTTACCTACAAGCTATGTGTCTGTACCAGACGAAGAGCCTAAGACTCTTCCACCTAGTTTGAAAGTTAAGAACTACCCCCATAAGGAGGATATGCCCTCATCCTCTGGATCCGTGAGATTGAGATGGCAATGAGATCAGGCCTGATCAAGCTTGATCATCAACAGGTCTCGATGGATATCTCAAATCTTATTGGAAGAGCTAGAGAATAGGCTTTGACGTGTCACAATTAACCATCTATCTTACCACCTGATAGAGATGTACGTCATGAAATTGACTTGCTTCCAGGAACTAAATACTGCGTTACACGGCAGTAGTCTCTGCCTGAAGAACAGTGTCACGTCATTGAAGATTTCTTTCGTGCTAAGCACGCGGCTGGAATGGTTCGTGGGAGTAAATTTCCCCATTCAACGCCTACATTTTGTGTCAAAAAGCCAAATGGCAAGTGGCGCATTGCACATGCTTATAATAATATTAATGCAGTCACTATACCAGCGCAGATGCCTATTTCTGGAAATGATGTTATTTAAAACAATGTGGTAGGATGCACATTGTACATTGCACTCGACTTAGTCGATGGTTATTACCAGCCGCTCAAGCGAGCGAGTGATATTTCGCTAACAGAGGTTAGTACATCGAGCAGTATACTCTGGGGGAGGCTCGATATGCCACACGGGCTTAGTCGGTAAGTAATTCAAGCGTTATGCTTTGGGGGTGGCTCGACATGCCGCATGGTCTGTCTAATGCCCCGGCTAATTGTAACTATCTGGAGACGCAACTGTTCAGACCTCACCGAGGTTACGAACAAACGTGCTATGAAGACATCCTTGTCCATATAATTGTGACGAATGGTCGATCAGCTGTAAATAACCACACAATTTTTTTACGAGCGATGGTCGAGTGCATGTGCGCGAATGGATAGTACGCTAATGCATTTGAGTGCATCTTTGATGCAGAAGGGATACCCTTTCTAGAGCGCTTCGTTGAAAAATGAGGCCTTCGAGCGGACCCCGCTAAGGTAAGGACTAAAGTCGATTGGCCAGTACCTAAGAAACAAAAGGACTTACGTAAGTGGCTTGGCCTCGCCAAATACTTGCATAAATATAGTGCAAATTACGCAGATATGGCTAGGCGATCATTCAATCTCCTATAAGGATGTGGATTGGTGTTGGGGTCATACCGAGCACGATTCTTATATAGAGGTCAAAGAGAGTCTCCTTTATGCAACAATAGTAGCTTTGCCCGATCCTAATCGGCCCTTCAGTGTCGTTTGTGACGCACCTGACTTCGCCATTAGCAGTGCTCTGTTACAAACAGATTTTGATGGACGCGAGCGCGTCGTTGCGTTCGAGTCTCGCCAGCTTAAAGCTGCAGAAAAGGACTATCCAGTTCATTACAAAAAAAAATACTTGCTATGAAGTATGCTCTAGTCAAGTTCCGAGTACATCTGCTTGGCTCCAAGCCTTTTGTGATCTGTACAGATCATGCGTCATTGCGCACTGCGGCACAATCGTCGCATCTCTCTCATAGAATGGCTCGTTGGCTTTCTTTCTTTGCCGAATATAACTTCGAGGTGAATTATAAGCCAGGAAAGCAAACTGCCTTGGCTGATGTGCTATCGTGCCGACCTGACTATGAGCGTGCTGATGTTACGACACTGTCGTCATCAGCCCTTGGCTTAATCCGTGCGGCTTATGCCAAGTATGACCAATGTGTAGCTTTGCTACACATTCTTGGAAGCAATAAGTTTGAAGACTCGTACATAGAATCCTCGGCATGTTTACGTGCGAGGCTACATCGATATTCCATTGATAATGGCCTAGTGTGCTATCGTAAGAATATTGAGGATATTCCTCGTATCGCTGTTCGTTATGATGAGTAATTAAAGTATCGAATCCTCTACGAGGCACATAAAAGCTTGAATTGGTCATCTCGGTCGCGAAAAGATTTACGGTTCGGTGAGCCAGTATTATCGGTGGCCCAAGCTGTACAAATGGGTGAAAACCTACGTATGTACGTACGAAATGTGTCAACGGTTCAAACCCTCAGCACATGCGGCTGTGCCGCTAGCTAGTCTGCCTGTATCCACTGGGTGTTGAGAGTCCATAAGAATGAATTTTGACTTCGGACTACCGAAGATTCGGAAGGCAACAATGGTATTGAAGTCATTGTTGACCGTTTGAGCAAGTTGGATCATTTAGCGGCTGTAATGGACATGATAGATGCTGAAGGCACGGCAAAGCTGTTTATCGATCATGTTTTTCGTCAACACAGTTTGTTTGTGGCAATTCTCTCTGATCGTGATCCACATTTCACCGGGACGTTTGAAAGCCTATCTTCAAGGTGCTCGACTCCTGATTGGACACGTCCACGGCGGATCATCCGCAGACATATGGTCAAACTGAGCGTGTTGATCGCGTCATTAATAGCATTTCGCACATTGTTTGCGCTGATACGCCAAGGCGTTGGATTTCAATGCTCCTTGTTGTTGAATTTGCGTTGAAAAACGCTTTTCATGACTCCACAGGATTCACTCCGTTTCAATGTTAATGGTATCGCCCACCGTCGCGTTCCATTAACGCTACCATTCTGTGGCTCAGGGCTTAGTGGGGGAGAAATTGCCGATCGGCTGGCTAATATCAGCCCTGCTACTGTTCGAAAACAGGTAGGCTAGTATTCGCAACGCGATTAAACGTCTTACGACATGTGCGTGACTCAATGGCTGATAGCCAAGATCAACAAAAACAAGAAGCTGATTACGAGGGCAGAAATTGCATTGAAATTATGAGCTCAGAGACTAAGCATTACTCAATGCTAAAAACCTATCTACAAATGTAGTGTCTGCTGTCTTTAAGACAAAGTTGCGTCCACGCTTCATTGGACCGTTTACGGTCACTATAAAAGTGCCTTGCGAATACGCTCAACCTTCCACGCAAATTGCGCACACACCCTGCGTTCAACGTAGGCTTACTTAAGCCGTAACGGGATCCTTCCCATGTGAACTTTGAGGCGCTGGTGCCGACGGCGAGGGCAAGGCCACGAATAGATGCAAACGAATCAGCAATCCCAACTAAGCCTCACTCCGAGTTTGCGCACGCTCAATTGCCTGAAGGCGGCTCTGCATCGCATCAAGCATGCATTGGGTCTTCCCCAGGGTCTCTTGAAGACACTTTACTTTTATAGCCAATTTTTTGTGGACTGATACCGGTGCACCGGCTACCACCGACGCTGCCCGATGAGCATGGGTGTTGTCAGTTTAATGTCGAGAGACTTCTTAAACGACGTCGTCTTCATGGCCACTACCATTATCTGATGAAGTG